CCGACATGGCCTCGTTCCCATATTCATTTCATGGGGTTCTTGCCCATCCCATTACGTGACGCCTTCGCCCTTCATGTTCCATCATTCGTAAATCCATCTCATGCTCGCAGAATTTGGGTGGCGCTCCGACGCAGAACCGATTTCGGTGCCTGGCCTCGCGCCGATACGTCTTGTGCCGGCCATCCGCAACGGTGGTGATGAACAACGCCGACGCCGACGAGTTGGAACTGCTCGCGCTCCAATACTCCGCAACGCCTTTCAGATCGGTGACGACGTTGCTGCATTCGAAATTTGCAAACAACGACTGGTCGATCGGAGTCTCACCCAGCTCCTCCAAAGTGACCGGAAAATGTGTAAGAGGTCCTACGTCTTTTCCGGCACGGAGAGCATTCCAGTTCGAGTAGTCCTCTGGTCGTTTTGGGGGAAGCACCTCGGCTTCATCTTCCTCGGCACTGCCGATTGAAGTGTCCGAATACACTGGGACAGCGCAAAACTCTTCGTCCGAAATCATCCCACCTCGTCCTCGGGTTGGCTGAACAATAGTGGCATGTAGGCTTCGAATCGACTGTCCATCAACCCACTGTGCTACACGCGAAGGACTAATGCGAAGATGTATTTCTTCTACAGCCTCAGCATCTCTACTATCCGGGTACGAGCTAGTGGAAGACGGAGTGGGGCAGACGAAGACCTCCCGCTCCGGTTGCCAATTGATCAACGCCTCGCGGGATTCTGAAGGAGGCAAATCCTTCTCACCGACGGCTTGTTTCCGCTTGGCCTTGCATATCGTTTGGCATTTAGCAATGATCCGGCCGACGCACATTGTGAACCGCTTGAAGCAGGTCTTCTCCTTTGCGAAGTCAATCTTCTGGGCCAATTTCGGCGTAGTTGAGTCTGGATTCGTGTCTTTAGTGGAAACGTGATTCGTTGACATCCTTCTGAAATCCTCACGAACACGCGACGGCTGGAGTGAAGTCGATGATGCCACGTTGAGGTTGTTAGTGTTTGAGATATTCGTCTCGGTATTTTCGTTGCGGCGGCAGAACATTATGAATGTTAACCGTCGGTTGTGATCGCGTGAGTACGTTGGATGAAATCTGTGCCCTGTTTATTCCCACGGCGGAAGAATATAAGTATACTTTGGCTTCGGCGACTCCTGTACGGTGTCCTTTCACGATGCGCAACATCCTACATATATAACGTAACCTTGGTGGTGAAATTTCGTTGATATATACGCGTACAGTGCCTGGGTTCTGGGGGAGGGTCACTCATATATACACAATGTTGGGTGGCTGCTTCTCGAGGGTCGCACCTTTGCCTCTGCGATGCCAGAGGGTACGGTTCACAGCCCAATCAAGAGACGCGGAGTAAAGTAGGAAATGATTTGGACCTATTATAAATTTTCGAATGATGCGGCTATGGTTGCTGTGTGGTGTGCTGTCAAAGTTGCCCGGTGACGGCGTCTCGCTAAACGCGTTGTCCCCTGCAACGCCAGATAAACACAACTTCGGAACCTGTATAGACGGAAACCACGATCCACCATAACCGCACTACAGCTTAGGTCGCAAAGGCCGTTGCTCAATTATAACTTCCAATTGACTCGCACCAGATTGGGATATTCATAATCCACCTTTTCATTCGCTCGCACAACGTACGTTACGCAAACGAACGACAAGCATTCGAGATGACGACGATCCACCACTCGCCCCCGCCGGGTGCGACGCCCTTTGCAATATACGAAGACGCAGAAGATAACGCGCCGCCGTCGCCGTCCGAAGTATACGAAGGCGACGTGTTGTTTCACTCCGAAATCTCGATACCAGGAGCCGATGAAGTCATAGCCAGCATCGAGACCGAGCACGAAACCATCGACGAACCAGAGCCCTACGTGAGCTCGTACACATCTCGGCCGTCTATTCTCTCGACATCTTCGCAGTCTCGTCGCGTATCGGGTGTCACCTCGACGAGCTTCATCTCATCTCTCCCGTCCGAAATCTCCGTGTCCTCGAAACCCATCGTACCAGCCAACAATGTCGATTCGCGATACACGCCACGGAAAGAGCGTCCCCCGTTCCGCAACCCTGCTTCGGTGCGCGCAATGCAGATGTCCTCGCCGCCGCCATTACCCGCATACGATACTCCACGAGAGCGGTTAAAGGGGAATTACAAGCTCGCGACGCCGAGCAGGGGCAGCCGGTCTGAGACCGTCTCTACGACGGGGTCTCGGAGGAGGTCGAAGTCACACCGAGACAGTGTCCACAGCGAATTCCAGGCGCTTCAAAGCCCGCGAGCCACACCCGCGCCCCAGCAGAGCCTTCCGTTGGTTCTGCTGCATGTGACGATCCTTCCAATTCAGCTACCATATGCGCACGACTTCATGATCACGGCGATGCCTGGGTGGCTTGTGGAGAATTACCGGGTCCTGGGAGAGAAGCTGCAGGACATTGTGCTGATGCGGCGGGGCATACTGATACAACATCCGCGGGATGAGTACGACTTGCTGGAAGAGCGCATCTTGGAGAGCTTGGAACTGAAGACTCCACGGCTGCTCAAATGTGGACACTTTGTTGGCCCAGATGCAGATGTGGAGGACGACGATCAGGACGATGAGGATAGCGGCAGTGTAACGGACGGAGGTACGGGACGAGGCAGTCGTATGAGCGGAGGGACCATCACAGCCGAAGATGAGGCCGAATGGAAATATCCTACACCGGAGTCAGACGACGCGAGCCTATGTACAGACTGCCATCAACAAGTGAAGAGGCCCGGCAGAGGGGTCGGCACAGGCACGAAGAGATGGGAGATCAAGATCTACGCAGCAAATGGTTTAATGCGTGCGGGAGCTTGGTCTGCTGCTTGGAGCGAGATGGAACGATGTGATGTCGAGATCTCGCCCTGGATTCCAGAAGATGTGCGCAAAGCTTTAGACAAGAGGCTGGAAGAAGAACAGGAGGCCGCGCAGAGGAAGCGAATGTATGCTGCCGAGCTCGAGCGACAGATCGCTGAGGAGGCCGCCACGCAAAAGAGACTAGCGGAAGAAGTGGAGGCAAAGCGTAGGGCGGATGAAGCCGAGCGGCAGAGACAGATGGAAGTCGAAGCAGCTGCCCTGCAGCAGAAGCTCGAGGAGGAGGCGGCGGAGAAGCGGAGGCTAGAAGAGACGCTCGATGAGAAGATCGAAGAAGCCAAAGAGACCATTCGTCTCGAATTCGAGGCCCAGGCGATGGCAGAGGCCAACTCGATTGCTGAACGATTCCGCGCGATGGAGGAGGCGCTGAAGAGGGAACAGGAGAAGGTTCCCGCATCCGCGCCGCCAGTATACATTCCGCCTCCTCAGCAGCATACTCGCAGCCGGTCTCGTGGGAGACAACGGTCGACATCTGGTCACCCATCCGTGCACGAGATCCCCATCAGCACTCTGTTGAAGAACTATCTCCTGCTACTTCTTCAAGACTCGCGAAACTACCTCATCGTCATACTTGCGGCTCTCGTCGTGTTTCTGGTGACGAATGCAAATCCTCACTGGGGTCTGAATACCTCAGCATTGGACATGGCTGCTACGGTTCCATTGGGGCATGTTGTTGACCCGGTACCATCCATGGTCGTCACTACTACGGCTACCATGACTGCGACCGCGACTTCGGTGACAACCTTGACTGTGACCGAATTGCAGCAGGTGGGAAGCGCCCAAGAGATACCCCTGTCGTCATCTCCCACGAATATTGCGGAGGTGGCGGACATGGGGATCTCTACGGCATCGCAAATCATTTCAGCAGCAATAGAGTCTGGGAGCCCTGGCTTTTCACAGGAGATGGCCAACGATGTGCCGGCGAGTGCAGTCTCGCAGGAGCTTTCCGAAGAGAGTGTCATATCGGCAGTGGCTCCAGAGCCTGCCGACCCATCAATCACCACCACGTCTGCCTCTGTCCCAGCCGTCTCTGACGAACCTCCATCATCAGCAAGCTCGCTCATTGCTTCGGATGTTTCCAATGAGGTTACAAGTCTACCTCCTGCGACCGAACTGGAGGACGCCTCGCTTGCTACAACCACGCCCGAGTCAACGCCATCCAATGCAGGCATCCTGGATATCTTTAATATCCAGGAAACCGACAACCCGGATGCGCAAGAAGCGAGCGAGACGCCTCTGGATGCATCCGACAAGGATGAACTCTGAGTGCACCGAAGTCGCGACCCTCCACGCGTCATTGAGGCGAAGCAGATCGAGCACGATCCCTCCACCGACCACCAAGAGTGTGCCTCGCCAGGCAGAAACACTTCACATACGCGATGGCGCATAACCGAAATATTGATGATGAACTCGTCGGTTAGCCTTGCGAGCAACATCTTCACCGGTCGTCCGCATTGCTCGCTTTCCCTGACGGAACTCTTTTCACAATCTGCATGCACCCCCACCCCCAATGAAGTAACGTAAATAGGCCCCTGGCCATTTCTTTCGTTTGTTTAGTTTAGCAAGGATTATGACAATTTGTTGTTGCACGTTCAGCGTTCGAGCACTGTCTTAGCGAGGCGTTTTGGCATTAGGGGTTAATGAGATTGTAATACAGGAATAGGTCGTTGGTAGATCCGGCTATTGAAACGAACATATAAGAAATTGGATGAGCGGTGATTGACACAACGTAGATAGAAATATGATCTCCCAATAACAACCCTGTCCAATATCCATCAGTGATAGCGTCTCGTCTCGATGCCTCGACTCAAGAACCCCCATCGATCAGCGACAACAAAGCATCCTGCAGTAACTAACAATATCGATAGAGCCTTTGATATCGATGGAGTGGCGGTCATCGCGTCCTCAGATACTTGTACAACGTCAAACTCGGCGACAGACGGGTATATGCATCGCCCCTATGCAACCACCCTCAACGCATCCCCATCAACATCCGCATCAATACCTCTCCCTCGTCTCCCTTCTCCACTCTCTATCCCACGCGTTCTGCATATGTTATATATTATTAACACCAAAAGATGCCATACTTCAGTAAACAGGCCGTGTAGTCTAGTCGTAGGATGCCTGCTTTGGGTTCGTTCTTCCAAACACATGCAGGAGGTCCTGGGTTCAAATCCCAGCTCGGCCCTCTTTTTGCCAGTCCGCAGGCATCGGTTTATTCTTTGGGGTTGGGTGTGAAGGGAAGGAAAGGTGTTTGTTGGAGGGGGGCGGAGGGAGTGATGGATGAGTAGCGCGGGGGAAGGGAATGGACATTGTGCCGACACAGCTTGATATATTGTAGATTTTGCGGAGGCATTGCTATTACTAACTGATCTGCAAAGTCTGTTATTCAATGTCTTGTCCACTATTATATAACGCTTATGGCTCTCTCTCTCTCTCTCTCTCTCTCTCTGCAACAGTGTCGTACCCGCCCAAGTTCGCATCCATGCATGCCCGCCAACTTCATTCTCCACCTCCGAGCAATATTGTAGATTCCGAATAGACCTGGACTCTCATCTACCCTCACAAAGGAGCCTCTATATAGATCTACTAAGATTTCTATTAGTGTCTGTTCGCGCGACGCTCAGACCCCAAGCGGCTGTCAGCATAAGAGACACCAATATTCCTGCCTCGCAGGCCAGGATAGAAAGATTCAAATTAACACCTTGGTACCACTAGACTTCCTGTGACCAAATCGGCTCAAAGGAAAAAAGAAGGGGTAAGCCGATCAAAATTATCCGTCTATTGAACGAGTGCGTGATGTTGTTGGCAGGGCTACCGTATGGCTTAAAATTTGCTGTGTAGCATCCTTCTCCCTCACTATTACTCTCAAGTCTCTGAAGAGGTTTATTGAAGGAAGGCCGGAATAACTTCACATACTACCGGATGGGGAATGTAATTGAATCTGTTTTGCTCCCGTTAAATGATTGCTCAGGGTTCGGAGACGTTAGCTAACAGCTTTCCGCTTAATTAGGCGCCTTCCTGGGGAAAATATTAAGTGGAGGCTGTTAGATGTTGCACAGCACGCCTTCTTAATGTGAGCACTTCACTAATGACACAAGCAAGATCACCGCATCCGACTTGTCCAAGGAGTCGTGCTAGCGCACATGCATTACAGCCCGTTGCTACGCGGATTGGAGTCGATTATGTCATATTCAAGCCGTTTCACGTTGCTGTCGATATGCCGAGCGGGATGTCGTCATCCCACTAATCAATCCCATCACTCGCAATACCCTGCTTCTTCTTATCCTCCATCCTCTTCTTCGTCTTCGCCTTCGCATCCTCCACCCACTTATTATACGCCCCACCACCCTGTGCCAGCTTCGCCTTGGTCACACCCTTCATTAGCTCGCCCACGAACCCAACGAAGTTGTGCCGCCTCAACGCGTTCTCCCATAACCACGCGTTCCTCTTCTCCTCCTGCTCCTCCAAAGCCTCCATATCGCCGATTTCTTGTGCGCGAATCCGCTGGTCTTGGACGCAGGCGAGGAGGTTGAAGCGGATTTCCGTGGCGGGGTAGCGCGCGATGCGCCGTTGGAGGACGGGGATGACTTTGTCAGGAAATTCCTGGGTGGTGCATGCGCCGTGGGAGATGGGCGCGGGCTGGAGACCGTCAAGTTCGTAGAGCTTGTTGTTTATTGACGTGTAGCTACCAGTGCATCAGTGAGGCTTCATTGGGGAAGATGATCAGGTGCCATCTTACGCAATGAAGTGGTAGACATCGTCGTCATCGGTCGCCGTCCGCTGTGTCTCGTCGATGAAAGGCGATGACCTCGCAAAGGAGTTGTGCACTTCCCGAATGACATCCGAGTTCGTCAATGTATCGCCCCGGAACTGTGGAGGACCCATGTCAGCAGCCGGCCCTGGTGTGCACCCCGCCGCCACATGAACGCACCTCGGGCGGAAACTCGCCCGTGAACTCCTTGAACTCCCTCAGCTCCTTTCCAATATCCACCTCTCCATCCTTGTTCAACAGCACCGAGAGCAGCGCCTGTGTCCCGCATGCGTTCTGTATCGTCTGCGCGGCAAAGAAGATGTTGTTCGCCGCCTCGTGGTCGAAGCTCCCGTCGTTGGGGGTATCTGACCGCTTCTCGCCGGTGGGGTATTTGAAGAGGAAGATGACGCCATAGATGTTGCCCAAGCGCTTCAGCTCCTCGGGCTCCAGGGTCATGAGCTCCTCGAACTGCACATCTTTGACGCCGAGCTTCTCGATGAGGTATGTGAACACGCCCTGGGGTGATAGGGTCAGCGAAATTGGAGATGCAGTAAGCAAGGGACGGGCGTACAGCATCACTTTCTATTGTGTTCCAACCTCCCGACATGTTGAAGACGTGCAAACTGTTGATCTATTTGCGGGGTCGTGTAATGGGAAGCTTGTCTCCCGCGCTTACGCTGTTAGCGCCGGAGTTAACGTCGGGTCTATATTTTTCCGATGGTGTGCACTGTGGCACTGTGATCGGACGACGTCAAAAGAAGGTTGTGAGGCTTGCCGATTATAGATCGTAAGCCCACTGTGTCGGGCATGCCGTCTACTCTTACGTGTGCGCGCGGCATCATTGTAGAGTGAGGTGTTGCACATATTCCTGGACGAGCCTTCCCTAGGTTTGCCAACCGCTATGTACAAAGTGAATGATAGAGGAAATAGACCAAAACCAGGTATATGCAGGGTTCATGGCTCTGGCAAAGAGCTCTTATAGCGGGAAGATACATCTCAGGGTTTGGACATTTTCGCGCCTCCTATCTTCTACCCATAAAGCACCTTTGACAAACCCGGGTGCGTCTACAGCAGAAGGATCCTTAGTTCGCCGCCTTCCCTCAACGCCATCGTGCCGACCGATTCTCCAGTCCATGCTATCGTCATGCCACCCAGCATCCAAAGCGACGCTCATCACATGTCAAACGAGTCATTGTCGCTACTGCTTGGACCACTGCCTGAGACGCACCAACTTCCTGCACCATCAAGAGCAGGCTTCCCTGCGAAAGGTTCCAGTGCGAAACCTGTCTACAAAAGCAATTCACACTTCGCGCTCCAACCGCAGCATATTCCCTCACAAGCAGAGACCCAACCCGGCCACTATCCAATTTCCCACCGCCACAATGTTCAATCTCCAAACCTCACTCGGCCGTGTCTCGGCCGTCAAAGCACCTCTACGACCGTGCAGTCGGTACCTCTCGGTACCTCCAACTATCGATAACTCAAAAGAGGGTTTCGAAAACTCGGGTTTCAAGCTAGAAGAGCGCTAGAAGAAGCGAGTCATGGGCTCCAACCTGAGAGTTTGATGTGATAGACGGTGCGCCGGCTATTAAGATTTAACGTCTGATCGACGTTATTCGCGAGTCAAACAAGTTGAGTTGCCGAATCGCGTGTGGGCATTGTAGTGTCCTTAGCGTTCAGAGGCGCGGAAATGCTCCGTATGCTTGGCAACCGCGCGAGGCGTCCACATCGCTGCAAAGCGAAAGCGAAAGTCGCTCGTGCAAGACGGGTCATCTTAAAAAGGCATGGTTCGAAGGAACCAACGACGCTAACCCCAGCAAACCGCGCTCCAACAACTCCATCCAACATCTCTCAACGTCAAACCAACAGCATCACTCATCCTCAGTAATCACTCGTGCCAACCCACCTTCCCACCACCAAGATCACCATCCACGTGACCCCTACATCATACGGTTGTATGTACCACCTCACCCCTATCCCGCATCCAAACCTCCCATCCCCACATGCATTAAACCGCAAGTCCGTCGCCGCTTCGCTTCGCCTGGCGCGAACTAAGCGCACTCCCGCTGCAATGACCCCATCCCCAAGCAACCTTTCCCACATCCTTTCCACATCCACATCAGGACGCCCTTCCACCATCCAACCGCCCCACAAAGCCCAAGCGCAGACAGTCGGCCTGGCTGGTGGCGCAAGGGTAAGCGAAAAGGGCATCCAGCGCTAAAAACAGGCTCCCGAAAAACCCGGAGTCGCGCACGTGCCCTGCATGCAGGGGCAAGGACCCTTGCGATAGCGTGGTAAAACAGGGCACCAGTGGGGACTGGCGCCGGCGGCGCTGGGTCCGGGTTGATTACTGTGGTCTATCGAGAGGGACAAGTGGGTGTCTGCATTGCAGGAGGGAGTTTTGCTTGAGAGGAGTTCTTCGGTGGACTGGATGGGGGAAGGTGAGGGCCTTTGCGTTCATGCTGGTCGCTTGTCGCGTTCCATAGAATGCGGGTTGTGAGGACGCGCAAAGGGCAACATTTCGAGGACGCATGTTTCTCTCGGCCGTGGAGAGCAGGTCCATAGGGCTATATGTATGCCTAGGCAAGATATCCAAGGCGACGAGACATGTGACTGCCTCCTTCACCCTTTTCACCAAAAAGATCGATGGTCAAGTCCCTCCACCCTTCTAAGTGAACCCACCAACCCTAACAAGATAGCCTTAACTCCCCTCCCATCCAGTCTATCCCCAATCCCACCATCAGGAACACATTGCCCGATCCACTTAGCCCCTGCCAAACCCTCCGGTATAAACAACGCCCCAATAAGACCCCAACCGACGCTTACTGAGCAATGAGCTCTCTGCGTTTCCAGCAGGGTGGTTGGGGCTTTCTCGCTTGCTTGCGGTGTGGTATACGCCCCAGGATGACGGTGCCAGGGGCCAACTAACATTTACGTTATAGCTTGCAACCGCTTATCCGCACGATGATAAGATACGCCGCTCATGTAGTACGGCGAAGTGGGCGACGGGCAGGACGGGTGCCGGTACCATGAAGCCGTCCGTCGCCAGAGGGTCGCCAGAAGTAAAGTATTGGATCTTCAAAGGCTGTGGGGTCCAAACGACACAACACCCCTCCACTCCACTCCACTTGTCCCGATCCCGATCCCCAACCCAAACCCTTTAGCCTACACGACCACTCACAACAAGCTTTCCTACTTCGAGTTTCGCACCCCAGTGCCGGTACCGTTGTACGTTATGTACATTAAGTACCACGGCATCATTGCAGCATGCGCCTCAAAATAGCAGCTGCCCTCCCGCTCACTCGCACCAAACCCCTTCGAGAAGGCTCTGCGAATAAGAGGTGATCGGCGGGACCGGAGCTCAAGCTCCGCTGCGTGGGACCTCGACCCCGATCAATCCGCCATCACGTCTCGCGCCTGCTGTGATTTGCCCG